TGGCAAAGGCCAGCTCGGCACACTTGAGTTCAAATGCCTTCAAGGTCATGGCAGAGCTCTCCAAATCTCGAATTTGACTTAACAGTCCCTTCGTATAGATGGCCATCTAGGAGCAGAGGCAGCAGAGATAGAAAGTCAGCATAGAACGATAACCAAAAATGAAGTTAAGGAATGAATGAAATGAGGTCTTACCGTGGCAGCTCCATGCAAAGCTGCGTTGATGGAGTTCTCAAGCGGCATGGCAGCAGCCCTTTGAACATCTGAAAGGCGAATGAGGGAATCAAGAGCACCTGCGACGAGCTCAGCGTCATCCAGGAAAGAGCCATCATTTTTCTCCTCTTTGGCATGCTTCCCTTTCTCAGCCTTGGGGCTACTTCAGGATGGTAGTAGAGGCTTTTCAAGCAGCCCAGAAGAAACAGAGCCAGGCAGGACTTGAGTCACTAACACTAAAGCCTTCTTGATCTCGGCTAAAGTGGGGGAGGTTGTACCACACTCAAGAACCTCCCCAAAAGTAAGAGAGAGTGTTTGGAGAGAAGAGACCTCTGCAAGTTTTGAAACGCTTGGTGGTGGAATAAGCGCCACTTAACTAGAGGTGGTAGGAACGAAAGGCACACCTACCTTGGATGCCTTAGCTGGAGGAAAGATGGTGCTACCAGAACCAGCCTCGGCCTTATGCTTGGCCCCGCTCCTATTCTTCTTCAGTGAAGCAACCTTGGCCTCGAGCGCTTCTTGGGAAGGCTGCATTGTGGAAGAACCTGGAAGCATAGAGTAAGTTAAAAAGAAAGGAAATAAGAGAAAAGTAAGAGGTAAAAGGGCTTAAAGGCAAGAAAAAGGAGACAAACCTGTCACTTCCTCAGCACTGACAACAGAAAGGGGAATGGGATTCTCGATCCTCACCTCACAAGGACTGAATCCAAGCTCTACAAAAACTTGGTGCTGAATGAGCTCCAAATATTTGTTTGAGTTACAGTTTGCCAGATTCCTTAACACTTGCTCATCTGCAACACTGAGGTCTGGTCTGATGCCTGAAAAACGAAACCAACGAAACAAGGTTAGCCAAGAAGGACACTAAGGATTATCCTAACTTGCTTAAGAAAAGGCTCACCCAAGTTATTAGGGACAGACCAGCCCCGAGGAACTGGAAAAGTATCAGTTACATCATTGGAATTAAACTCACAGTCTCTCCCCCACACGAAAAAGAAAAGTTTTGCCAACTTTTATGAGGGCTCGGGAGGTCGGAGATAAGAACTTTGGTTTTCACGCGTTTGGAGATATACAAGAAACTGTTATAAGGAGTATACTTGACTTTGAAAAACCTCATAAGCAAAGGAATAGTATGGACCCCAAGATTGTGCTTTTTGAAGAAAATGAGAAGGCCCACCAGCACAACCCATAAATTAGGAGAGAGTTGAGTAAGGCAGACATTGAAATGCTACAAAACACCTTTGATAAAGGGATGCATGGTAAAGCGGAGGCCATTCTCAAAGGCGGCCATGAAGAAACAGATTTTCTTGGGGATGGAAGAATCATATCGGGTGAACACGTATGGACTCTAGAAATGCACACCCTAAGGAAAGCCAAATGAGCGGCTAGAACCTTCAAATAAGAAGGAACAAGGTCACTAGGGCCCACAAGCTCAGTAACTCTAGGAGTAGCCCTTCTACCTTCGGCATTGCTAGAGACCCATACACCACTCACATTGGTCTTGCCTTTGTTAAGGGCTTTAGGAGCAAGGAAGGATAACAAAGGAGGCTCCTCAGAACCTCCCCTGACTTTGGCAGAGTCCACACCGGGGAAGTCATCAATTTTCTGCCCCATATCTCCCAGATCAGAATCCACCTCAACAGATCTATCCCTCATTAGAGAGATGGATGAACCCGTGGCTTCAGACGAAGTGGACATAGCTGGGTTAGAGAAAGGAAGCTTAAAAGACCTATAAAGCGAAGGAACCTCTGAGAACACTCTTTGAGAGTCAGGGAGCAAGACACCAACGACCAATAACAAAAATCCTAGCCCTGGAATAAGGATCTAAAAAGAGGGGGATGTGAGACAAATAAAGGTTTCGATTTGTAAAATAGCATAACCGAAAGGTCCAAAAATGCAATAACCACCTCAGATTTAAGGGATCCAGAACGAGGAACTGGGAAAGAGATGAAGGACGTACCTAAACGAGACCAACAATGGACTAAAGCTCGAGAACAAAATCTGAAAACAAGCCTCACTAAGCATGCAAATCAAATTAGGGGAAATCGTCTCCTTGAGAAACCCTAAGAACGAAAGCAAATCGGAGAAGATGAAATCACAAAGGAATAAAGGAGAAGAACCAGAGAGAATTTGAAGAGTGAGGAGAAGACCATTGGTCCAGGAGTATTTAAAGCTAACGGTGCAAAGGGGTTCAAAGTGGACAACACGCACGAGAAACAAGAAAAGAAATAATTAATGATAACCATCAGAAGTTTGTTTGCACGAATACCAAGGTCACCCAATAAGGGTCCACTCTACCTCAGTTTGAGTTCAGCCCTTACTCAAGCCAGCTTGACCAAGAGCTGGGGGGCAACTGACGATACGTAGGATAATTTCTAAATATGAGCTCAGACAAGGAGGTCAGGCAAGACACACAGAGCTTAGAGGACACGAGCTAGAGCTCACCCCAGACAAGACAGTAGCGGAGATGACAAGGAAACAGCTGGGTGTTAACAGGAACCCTACAGTTGGCAAAGAATCATATTTAGGGCACTAAATCCTCAACCAACCAAGATATTCTCCAAAAATCAATGAGGAATCCACGGGTGAAAAGCTAAGATCTCGATACAAATCCCTAAAAATAAGGAACAACTCTATAAATACTGTGTAGTGCCTCCAATAATGACAGAGAATCCCTGATTGCCTGAGAGAAAAATTGTAAACTCCACCCACATTTATAAAATCAAAAGGAGCAGGAGTCTCCATTAGAGAGTGGATTAGCCGAGCTCCCGAGCTGGTGAACCACTGTATTTTCACTGTGTAATTCCCCCCCAAATCCCTAAAATTCTTTGTTACAATCCTCACGAGTCTAGGAACTCAGACCCGAGTAGCCCAGCACAATAACAACCTTCTGCTCACCCCCGTCAATTGCACCATCACCTTGCAATGTATCTTCCAACCTACTTGGTTACCTTGCAATGTATCTTCTAACCTACTTGTTTACCTTGCAGATCCATTCCAAACAGCATACTCTCAAACGAAAACCAACATAAACATTGACATAATAACTACTAGAATAAGTCAAAAGTTGTAAGAGTTGTTGCATTTGTACGCCTTTCTTCCATTTAGATTACAAACACTAAAATGAAACTGTGGAACAACATCAAACATCCATTAGTCAAAACAAATTCGTATGTACTGTGTTTGTGGAAAATTCTTTTATACATAATTCGTATGTACTATGTTTGTGGCAACATTCCATTAAGTGCCTCTTGTGGCAAATTGAAAATTCCAAATTCGTTTGTACATAATGAAAATTTCAAATTCCATTTTGTACACGAAATATGTATATATGCATATATATGTATGTGTATATAGATTCCTATATAGATGTATATATATTTTTTTCGAAAGTATATGGATGTATACATAGATTCCTATGTAAATGTATATATGGATTCCTATATGTACTGCGTTTATGGCAAAAGAAAAGATAGATCTAGAGAGAGAGAGTGTGTGTGTGTGTGTTTACCTAAAGAGAGGTCTACCGGCGAGCACAGAGTTGAAGCGGCATGGAAAGAAGAGAGAGAAAACATATTTTTTACCGTTAGATTTTTGGGTCTAGATTTTGAGTTTCCCTTTATTTGGGTTTAGAATTGGGTCTCCTTTCATTTGGTATAGGATTGAAGAAGGTTTTTGACCTCTTTTTATCCTAATTTTAAATTTGGTTCTAAAAAAAAAAGGTAAGAACTGGAGATGCTCTAATAGGTTTTTGAGAGCTTTGAAACATTAGGTTTTGACGTTATAATTTATTATACAAATTTTGAGAGATTTTTCTGTTTTGAAATTGATTGTATTAGCATTCAAGAATAAATAGGATTTAAATTTTATTTTATTGTTGTTGAGAAATCAACTTTTTTACTGAAAGGCTCTCGAGTTTATCCAGAATTGTGTTTGAGCAAGAATCTACGGTTTTGGCTTGAATTGAACCTGGCCATTCACAATGGAGCAGAATTTAAACATACTGAAGCTCGATAAACTTGGTTTGATTTGCCCTCCTACCAATTTTGGTTCAAATTGAACAACTTTAACACAAATAGACCATATTTTCAATTGTAAAAAGAAGTCATTTCTTTACCCATTCATTGTTGGGCTTATCTTCCAGAATTTTCAAAGTTTATTTCTTAGCTGCATTATGCCAAGAGTCTAAATAAATCACAAAGAGCATATTTACATCAAAATTACTCACATTTAGAGAGAGAAGAAAATGCTAGCCTGGAGAAATCAATTGCCGAGAAAATGTCCATATAGCCACCGGGATGGACTCAGTCAACGTCTTCGTAAAACATAGAGTATCATACTTTTCCCAAAGTTCCACGCGGTTTTATTGACTTAGACAAAGCAAAAAGACCAACATTTCTTTATCACATATCTAAATCCCCACTTTCTCTTAACTTTCTCAAACATTCGTAGCCAGAAAAATTCAAATAATTGAAGCATCTTATTCATGAGCTGCAACTGAATTCTTCTGCCGTGTGCTGCACTATGCTTGAATTTCTGGCCCACGGCCAATAGGTGCTGTTTAAATGTTATGGATCAGCTCAAAAATTAAGACAAGTCCTTCTCAAAATGAATTTTAGCAAAAAAAATTCGGACACTTGAACCAAGTAGTATTTATGCCTAAATGATCGGTTCTAGTTTTATTGAGACCAGCTGTCTCTAATGTCCTTTCTCACGATATCAAAAAAATAATAGATCATATACCATTTATTCATTTGGGATTCACTACATTGGTTGGTCTCCACATTATGCGGAGAATGACAGATCTCACCCACGCTCAAGTTTTCAGTTCCCATGAAGAGAAAGAAGGACTTGAGATTACTGTTCCTCTTCTCCATTTTCTCCCAACGGCTCAAATACACTTTTTAGTTTCTCTACTATTTGTTACAAATTACTTCATATCAGGTAAAAGCTACCATTCTATGATATAATTAAAAAACTATTATCCCATAACAAAATTAAGTTTGAAAATCGTATTTATTTGGTCTAAAGCTTAATATTTAACCCTTTTTTTTTTCTTGGATTAAATTGTTTTGTCCGCAGGATTAGTCTCATCACCAACATTCACATTTGTAAACAAGTGTGACCACCCAGTATGGCCAGGCGTAACTTCACCATTCAACACCACCGGTTTTGCCCTCCAAAAGGGCGAGTCCAAGACCCTAAACGCGCCATCAGCGTGGCGTGGCCGGTTCTGGGGTCGGACGCAGTGTACCGAAGATTCCAGGGGAAATTTCACCTGCGTTACAGGGGATTGTGGTTCAGGAAAGCTACAGTGCTCTGGGGGTCCTGCACCTCCCGTCACATTGGTGGAGTTTTCAGCGGACGCTACTGGCTTCATCGATTTCTATGACATCAGCTTGGTCGATGGGTACAACCTTCCCATTCTGGTGGGTCCTCGGGACGTTGGCGAAATCAGCTGTAAAACCATCGGATGTGTGGTGGATTTGGACGTGGCGTGTCCTCCGGAGCTGAAGGTGACGAGCAATGACGGATCGAGCGTGGCGTGTAAGGGCGCTTGTCATGCTTTTGAACAAGATCAGTACTGTTGTACAGGCGCGTTTAATACACGCGACACTTGCAAGCCCTCGTCATACTCGCAGTTGTTCAAGAGGGCGTGTCCATGCACCTACAGTTATCCTTTCGATGACACACCCGGTGTCTTCTCCTGCGCCGGTGACGACTACCTTATTACCTTTTGCCCCAGGACGAGGTAAATTTACTCAAATGCCCATGCATAACATATTTTCTTTGCTTGGCCGGTAAGGGTAGTTTTGTCCTCCTGAATTCACGAAAGCCTGTCAATTTGAACGTTAGGGTGAGTGACAACTGACAAGTAGAATTGATTATCTGAATATGACAATTTTAAAATTTTATTACTTGAATAACATGATTTTAATCTTATTTATTTAACTAGAACACTTTTTAAATATATGATTAGTAAATATGTTTTTTTTTTTACCGAAAAAAAGAATTCCAAATAAAATCGAGAGGAAAACATGTTCGTCGAAGAGTGGTTTTTTGTGTCTCTGCAACGCTCTCTCTCTGTGTTTGTTCTTCCGTGGCTTCCTTTTGTCTTTCGTTTGTTGGTGCGTGAAAGCCAGTCCAAATCTAGATCTCTAAAGTTGGGTTGTGTCAAAGAGTTGAAATTNATTCACATTTGTAAACAAGTGTGACCACCCAGTATGGCCAGGCGTAACTTCACCATTCAACACCACCGGTTTTGCCCTCCAAAAGGGCGAGTCCAAGACCCTAAACGCGCCATCAGCGTGGCGTGGCCGGTTCTGGGGTCGGACGCAGTGTACCGAAGATTCCAGGGGAAATTTCACCTGCGTTACAGGGGATTGTGGTTCAGGAAAGCTACAGTGCTCTGGGGGTCCTGCACCTCCCGTCACATTGGTGGAGTTTTCAGCGGACGCTACTGGCTTCATCGATTTCTATGACATCAGCTTGGTCGATGGGTACAACCTTCCCATTCTGGTGGGTCCTCGGGACGTTGGCGAAATCAGCTGTAAAACCATCGGATGTGTGGTGGATTTGGACGTGGCGTGTCCTCCGGAGCTGAAGGTGACGAGCAATGACGGATCGAGCGTGGCGTGTAAGGGCGCTTGTCATGCTTTTGAACAAGATCAGTACTGTTGTACAGGCGCGTTTAATACACGCGACACTTGCAAGCCCTCGTCATACTCGCAGTTGTTCAAGAGGGCGTGTCCATGCACCTACAGTTATCCTTTCGATGACACACCCGGTGTCTTCTCCTGCGCCGGTGACGACTACCTTATTACCTTTTGCCCCAGGACGAGGTAAATTTACTCAAATGCCCATGCATAACATATTTTCTTTGCTTGGCCGGTAAGGGTAGTTTTGTCCTCCTGAATTCACGAAAGCCTGTCAATTTGAACGTTAGGGTGAGTGACAACTGACAAGTAGAATTGATTATCTGAATATGACAATTTTAAAATTTTATTACTTGAATAACATGATTTTAATCTTATTTATTTAACTAGAACACTTTTTAAATATATGATTAGTAAATATGTTTTTTTTTTTACCGAAAAAAAGAATTCCAAATAAAATCGAGAGGAAAACATGTTCGTCGAAGAGTGGTTTTTTGTGTCTCTGCAACGCTCTCTCTCTGTGTTTGTTCTTCCGTGGCTTCCTTTTGTCTTTCGTTTGTTGGTGCGTGAAAGCCAGTCCAAATCTAGATCTCTAAAGTTGGGTTGTGTCAAAGAGTTGAAATTTCATTATTTGGATTGGTCGGTATTCTTTAATTATTGATAAATTTTGGTTTAATCTTTAGACCTCAATCCTTTTATGCCTCTCAACTTTGGGATCCCAATGAAATAGCGACACTTTGATGTGTGGGTTCGATTGAAAAAAATTAACCAAACCCACTAATTCGAATATTTCAATTGTTTTGGGATATGATTTGAGATCCCGAATTTTGACTCCTTGCATTACTCCATAAAAAATTTGAATTAGTGATTTCGTTATATTTGAAAAATGGCCTAATTATAGGAACATCCCCTGTAATTTTTGGAAAATCACTACCACCTTCTTCTATCAGATTATGTCTTTAACATAATGTAGAGTTATATTTTGATAATTACAATTAACAGATAGTTATTTTAACTCATTTTTCCTCATTCTTGTGCAAATGCACAAGGCAATTTTTCACTCATCCTCACGCACACCATCCAACAAAATTGATGAATTTCACCATTTACAAATTTAATTTTATTCAATTGTCATTCAATTTCATTAAATCGACATTCAATTTTATAAATTTTAACAAATTAACACCAAATTATCTTCTAGTTTCATCAAATTAACAGTTAACTTTATCAATTCAACACAAATTAAGATTAAATTTCTTCAAATTAATACTAAATTAACATTTAATTTCAATAAATTAGCATTCAACTGATGAAATTATGGTTATGCGGGTGGTGTTGGTGGAGGACACTAACCAGTTTTCAATTTAATTTTATAAAAACTAGTTTTCAATTTTATCAAAAATAAAAATATTTAATTCAATCAAATGAACATTAAATTTCATCAATTAAAATTCAATTTTATTAAATGAACCTTAAATTTTATCAAATTTGCATTCAACTCAACCAAATGAACCTTTTTTTTTTTTTTGGACAAACACGCAAATCCACATAGCTAAAGCTCAACACACTTGATAGAAAGGGACCCAAATGAACCTTTAATATCATCAATTTAACATTATATTTTATCCAATTAACATCAAATTTTATTTAATTAACAATAATTTCATCAAAGTTAACATTCTATTGATAAAATGTGTTTGCGTGTGCACATGTATCTATTCTATCGGTATCAAATTTCAAGTGATTTTGATTTTGAAATTGGGATCGAAATCGAAATAGAAATTGTGGGATGTGCTATTGTTTTACAGGTGGCTCAAGTTGTATGAGAGAGAGAGAGTTGTTTGGGTTTAGGATTAATTTTGTTCAAAAAAAAAAAATATGAGATGTCTAGTTATGGGAGTAATATTTTACGACTTTACATTTAAGGGGAAAATTATTACTTAAGAAGGAAAATTAATTGACATCATCATTTTTTGACCTTGTCAGCAACATTCTTGTGCGTGCTAAATTTTACACAATAGTTGAAGTAGGAACATGTCTCTCCCACGATGAACTGTGATTCGACAAGATAGAAATTCTGACAGAACGGAAAAAGGTTCAGCGAGACAAAGGGAGACAGGGTGGTAGTGAAGGTTTGTTTTCAGGATATCTAATCGCCTCCGGCTAAGATTTGATCAATCTGAACGTAGGTTCCAACAACAAAAAGTAGGTTGAGAGGGATAAAGGGGTCTTAAGGACTGGTGATAAATTGTTTGTTGGGTCGCCTGACCGGTCCTGAAAGACTATTAGGGGATCCTGTGACACAGAAAAACAAGTTAGAAAGGTGTCGGAATGCTCTCCGGCGTATCCCCTTTGACGATCAAGTTAGTTCTTTGAGAGAAGGGAAGAAGAAAACACTGTGTAGTTCCCTAGAGAAGTTTTTGCATACCTTTACAATCCGTTTTTGAGAACTATTTATATCTTCAAAAGCTCATGATTGTTGATAATCCATCCAGCAGGTATTTGTCAAAGATGGGGCAGTGTGCCCCTCACTTTTATGGGGAATGGGCATTGCTCTAACTGATCGGGATGCCGAGCATTTAAAGCTCACTCCTCGATCTGCCAAGCATTCAATTTCCCTTTTCTCGGCAAGGATGCATTAAATGCCAAGTATGGGAGTCTTTAATGCAGTTCACTTCTTGGCCCCCCATGCCTTAATTGCTGTCTCATCAGGAGGAGGATTCATTAAATGCTTACTTGCTCTAGACACGTGTCAGCAAAGGTATCCAAGTCTTTTTGTTACTGATTTGATATCACATTCCACGTGTCTACCTCTCCTTGGCTATATGTTCTCCATTCCTGTGCCCCCTGACACCATGGAGCAGAGCGTCTTCATGATGGCTAGCCTAGCCTGGCCTAGGCTAGTCATCTGTCAAGCATTACCTTTTATAGAAGCCGAGGAGAGGTGGGATCAAGCGTGTAGAAGGAACACCTCGACGCCGAAGGATAGTTGCCTACCTCGGGGTAAAGGGTTTTCACCGAGCTGAGGGTATATGTGTCAATTACACCGTTTGGGGGGTCCCTTGGCTCCGAGCTTTATCGCCTCGGTAGAAGGGGGTGAGCGACGCCGAGGACACGTGGCCGTGTCTGACTGAGAATATAATGATATCGAGGACACGTGTCACCGATCTATCTCTTTCCAGAAATGTCCCATCAGTTCTTGACAATAAGGATAGTAGTATGTGAAACGAATATATAAATTATAGGGGAGTAAGAGTGTTATTTCAAAAATTATATGAGTTGTCCCTAAATTTACCCTTGGGTTTTAAAATGCCTTGAAAGCTCAATTTTTCGACAAATTGGTGATTGTTGTTCATTTGGTCAATCGGGTCGATGAACAAATCCTATTAGTGGGTGAAACCTTTTTCTTGCCATAATAATATTTTATAATACTGATAAAAAAATAGGATAAAAAATAAAAGTGAACTGATGATATGGGATTATAATAATGGTACTTCTAATCCCACTTTTACACATTTAATATTCAAGATTTACCTACAAGTTCAGATACCACATCATTTGGGACTTAATAATTTAGCCTATTTCATCAATTAGGCATAATTGTACTTTCGTTTTTGTAACACTATTGATGAATACATAAAATCTATACGAACTTGGTGAGTATAAATTTGATTTTAATGTTTTGTTAGACTCTTTTAATAAATGAACCAATACAAGTTCAATCAATCAATCATGACAGGAATAGTCTAAACACTATTTATGAAGTCTATTTATATATAGACTGTTATTTTCTTGGAGAGGGGACTTGACAAACTCTCTCTCCCGCTTCATTTTTTTTTTTTTCAGAATTTTCATGTAATTAACCACAATTCCAATCAACAACAACCACTTAAGTCAAAGTTTTGTCTGCTAGCGTTGCATGACATTGACTCATGACTCTTTAGTTATTTGCGATTCTGATCAATCCTCAAAACATGAGAGCAAACAAGACACCAATATACATGGAAAGATAAACATAGAGAAAGAAGGGAATAAAAACTGTCTGGGATGAACTATTTCGTCTTATATTTTTGTTCTCCCTTACTTTTTCAGTGTCTGTCCTGCCCATCTTTCAACCGAAGTCGCTGGATCTCCGTATGACGCTCCAAGTCCATTGCCAGAAATTGTGTCATCTACAAGAAAACAAACAAATTTAGCAGCAATAATAGCAGGGTCCAGTGCTGGTGCTTTTGTCCTTGTCTGCATTGCAACTGCAATCCTAGTGATGCGGGGGAAAAGGAACGAGGATGATAAGGAAGTCTATATCGGGCATGTCCCGGGAATGCCCATGAGGTTTTCATATAAAGAACTACGTGTTGCAACAGAGGATTTTAAGGATATAATTGGTAAAGGAGGATTTGGGACCGTGTTCAGAGGAACACTAGGTGATGGCACTAGAGTTGCAGTGAAGCGGTTGGATAAACTGAGCCAAGCGACGAAGGAGTTCTTTGCAGAAGTTGCATCGGTTGGAAGCATACATCATTTGAATCTCGTAAGGTTGATTGGATTTTGTGCAGAAAAATCTTACAGACTTCTGGTATATGAATATATGAGTAACGGGTCTTTGGATAGGTGGATTTTCAACAAGCACCAAGGAGCTTGCCTCAATTGGCAAGCTCGAAAGAAGATTATAATTGATATAGCCAAAGGGTTGGCTTATCTACATGAAGAATGCCGACAGAGGATTATTCACCTTGATATCAAGCCACAAAACATTCTGTTGGACGAAAATTTCAATGCTAAAGTCTCTGATTTCGGGTTAGCTAAGCTCATTGACAGAGAAGAGAGCCAAGTCCTGACAACAATGAGAGGAACTTTAGGGTATCTTGCTCCAGAATGGCGACTCCTACGAATCACTGTAAAAGTCGACATCTATAGCTTTGGGATTGTTGTTCTTGAAATAGTTTGTGGGCGGAAAAATTTTGATCGCCAATGGTCAGAATCTAGCTCACACTTGCTTAGACTGTTGCAGAAGAAGGCCAAAGAGGATAAATTACTTGACTTGGTTGAAAACTGGGAGGAAGGCATAGAAGGTCATGCGGAAGAACTGGTTAGGATGATAAAGATTGCAGCGTGGTGTTTGCAAGATGATCACACAAAGAGGCCTTCCATGTCAACAGTGGTGAAGGTCTTGGAAGGGCTAATTGGGGTGGATCCCAACATCAGCTATAATTTCACTCATGCAATGGAATCTCACATTGTAACAGAGGACCATGCTTCTGCACCAGCACAAGCTTCTGTTCTTTCTGGTCCTAGATGAAATGGTGATGATATATGGTAAACTGCAAAAAGAATCACTGCACTTCCAAATATCTGACGCCCTCTAGCTAGTTAAAGAGTCATTTACTATCATTTTAAACATCAAGAGAAAAAAAGAAAAAGGCAAACATAGTAGTTTTGCCCATGTGTTAAAACTCTTGCTTTCATTTTGGGGGTTAATTACAAAAAATCTCCGTCAACTAAGGCTCAATTGCAAATGACTACCCTCAACGACTACGAATTTCACTAAACCCATTCGTAGTTATGAATAAAATAAAAATTTAATGCTAAAATACAAAAAGTATAACCTCATATCAAAGACTGTAGTCACTCATTTTTCTTTGTTTACATTCAGCCAACCAACGGACCAAGTCACCCTCCACCTCAAGCTCCACTAACACAATGCCCTCTGGTTACAAATTGAACCATGAATTGAGAAGTTAGGTATGAACAAGAATAGAGAAAGAGTGAGAGTGCTGACGAGGGAGAAAGAGAAAGAGACTTGAAGAGTAAAAGAAGATATCTACTAGGGATCAAGGATTTCTGTTGATAATGTTGATACTGCGCTCATTATATTAGTCGTTAAGTAAAAAATAAAATTTTGATTTACAGGAAGCATGACATAAAATTTTGTTTGAACTTGAACTTGCCCTAATCAATTAATTTCGGCCGCGATAACTGTTGTTGATGTTCAAGCATTTTGATTCACTTGTCATTCATCTTGTCCAATAATCTAATTTGCCAAAAAATATTTAAATCCCAAAAAATATTTAAAATAATAAAGTACAAAGAATTTCAAATCTAAAATCTATCAAAAATGACTTTTACTTTTCTTGATTCAAAATTTTTAAATTATTCTAAATTTTATTTGAAGGTTAATATTAACTCCCAAATTTTATATTCCATTCCAAACTCCCTCTCTCATACTCTCAAATCATAACTCCTCATGTGTTCCACTTTTTTTCCCTCATTGCTTCCATTCTCGCTTCATCTCCAAGCTTCTTCATATCCCTCCCTCTCTCATTGACATAGATCTCCAAATTCGTTATAACACACACGATGATGCAAGTTTGTTGGACCCCTATTGATGCAAGGTTTGACCGTGAATATAAATGAACTAGGGATAATTTGTGTTTGAAAGCACAGTGCAATTCAAAAAAAAATCGAGCATTAAACTCAAAGACCTACTAAGTTGAAAGCCCAAACTATCCTCATAATTCGCGCCTGAAAACACTGCGCAATTCAAAACAAATAATGAACGTTGTTGTTGAACACAAAATAATCAAACACTAAACATAAATACGCATTAAGCTGAAAGTCTAAACTACATTTTTAATATCAGGATTTTGGTGAAATAAATTGGGTCAAAATACTTTCGTTTCAGTTATTAGAAGAAATGTTACAGCCTAAATGTACCATGTATACTAAACAAAAATTGTCAATATTTAATCTAAAATAATTTATTTTGTTCTTTTAAAAATATATGGACAAAATTATTCATAAAAATAAGATCCCAATAAACTATCAACCTATATAGACAATCAATACAATACTAATTACACAATCCTTCATTTAAAAAATGTTAACAAAACAAATAAACTATGAAATTTGTGTGGCAATCCTCAACTTATATTGCACCAATTCAATCAAAATATGTTGTCTATTCTAAACGAAGACCCGAAAAATAATTTGTGGTGCCTATATAATGGACCAAGTAAAATATGTGTGCCTGTATAACATTTTACGCATCTAAAACAATAGAAAATTATTCTTCCTATACGAACAACTATATGAATACTTGTAAAAATGACAGGCCAAACATAAGGCCAAATATTCCAAGCAGTCAAAGCTTTTCTAATGTACACATTAGGTATATGCACTTTCAAGTATAAACACAATCGTATGACATAATTATTGCACGAAACATTCTATTCATACTGGGTATGAAAAGCTTGTACCATGGAGTAAAAACAAAGCGCAAGGAAATTTCACTGATGCATGCGCCTTCTCAACTAATCAACTAAAATACAATTCCTATCATAGCCAAAAGTATGAACTTCAATTTGGTTTTAAGACTCCCTGTGAATGGCCAAAGCAATTCAAAATTAGCGTATGACTTGCAAGTTTCTTCTAAGTTTTGAAACAAAACATTAAAAAATCAATTTTTAATAACAAGTGAAAGGTAGATATTTGACTGCATTAGTAATAGTGCGAAATAATCTATTTGGGAGAACAAGAAAGGCCATATGATCGTAATTCAAAAAATTAAGACAACTCAATTCAAAAAATATCACAATCATTATGCCTAGCACAGTCTAATCAAAATCAAATTACAAAAATTACCTGAAAAATAACAATTCACACTAATTTAAATATACACACACATGCACTTTGAAGCCCAACAAATTCAACCACCCAAAAAAAGAGTAAGGTTTTTTTTTCAAGATCAAAGAGTAAGGTTACTTACTGATTTCTATGTTTGAGTCTTTGATGGGCAACCCAACAATTATTGGAGTAAGAATAATTTTATCGCAGCTCATGTTTTATATACAACATGCACAAATCATGTAAGTGTCTGTTGTGCTAAACTAAGGAAGCAAGAAACATTAAAACCCAAAAAATGAAAATTTAATTTTTTTTCTTCACCCCAACATTTAATGGGCCACCTAGAATGCAGAACGTTGGTTTCTGGTTTCAGCCTTTGTCAATGGCCATTTTTCTTCTCTTTGACATTTTTTCAACCACGTAGTATGCATAAAAAGTAAAGGGTGGAGGCGTTAATACCAAGGACTCTAACATTTAATAATTAATGACAACAAACTCAAGAAAGTAGTCATGAGGATATCAATCAACACCTTTCTCCAATATTATCCATTCTTCACCACCACCTCATAATAATGAAAACCACATAATAATGAAATGTATTCTATAAAAATAAAATCACCATTCTAATTTTTTGAAAATAAAATTTGAAATCTTTGAATGCACACACTTCAGAGGTTTTAGTAAATGAGTTTGTTGATGGTATGAAAAATCCTTAAAAAAACTAACATCTCAATAAATGAGTATATATCCATAGGGAAATAGAGAAGAACTGTAAACCTCCACATGTTTATATTAATATAATGATATAATTGTTTAAAAATTCTAATATATGTAATGACGTAAGAATGAGCCACGTAGATTATAACAGTAGAAATAAATAGTTGGGAGACAAATTGATTTTAAAGTTTAAGTTTCAAAGGTATTTAAGCTTAGAAGAAGTTGCTAGGTAAGTTTCTAAATATATTTAGGTTAATATAAGGACTCCATTGAATCTAGAAGGTTGAGAAACCTTGAGAGAGGTAATATGAAGTGTATTAGAAGTTAGGAAGTTATTTGAAGTTAAAACCTATTTTGGAGAGGATTTGGGTAGAAAGGAGTTTGACACTACCTTAGTATTTTAGCCATAACTTTTTACTCTTCACTTGGATTGATCTGATTTTTGGACAGTAGAAACTAGACTTCAAAGGCTACAAAAGTGTATCGCATGAAAATTTTCTAATTCGACCTCTAAATTGGTCAAAACTGTCCTGGAAGTTGCAGCAGACAAAGTGTACCGGTTACTTCGAACTCCAGAAGCTAAATAGTACTGGCACAGCATACTGGTACGCTCTGTAAGACCCATTTTAACCCGATTTTGGGTTTTGTCTTCATTTCCCACCCTATAAATACATTATGATGCCTCTTTGAGTCCCATTTCAACATTTTGAACCCTAGAAACACTTAGAGAGGAAGAGAGGAAGAGAAAACACAAGATTTAGAAGGGATTTACACTTCAAGGAGATCAAACCCTAGATTCTTCAAGAACCTAAGGTAGGGTATTTCTTTCTATTCTCTTGAATTGAGGTTAGGGTTAATTTATATGTATTCTTTTGGATTAAAATCCTATTTACTTGCTATTATTTACTTGATTCTTGGTCTTCTTGCATTTATTGTCATGCTTTAAACATTGTGTTGGTTGGATAACCATTAAAGTTCATTTTCTTACTTCCAAACCCTAGTTTCTTTTAAAGGGGGTTTTCTCTTGATCATTCCTTTGTCTTTGATTTATAAAACTTTAGTGTTTTGGGTTGAGTAAATAAAATGATGTGGATGATGATCTCTTGCATTTTATTATATTGTTTCATTGGAGATATGTGATTTGAGAACCACCCATGTGATTGGGGGTTTATGGAATTGTTTATATTTGAGAAAATTGTGGGTATTGTACCTCTTGTGTGGTTGTGGGAATAAACATAGGCTACTATTGGATGGGTATCATGGAGTGGGTAGATGTCTTCTTCTCCGTGTGGGTATGAACATTATTCCTACCACTCGTGGTGGGGTTAGCGCCTTGCGAGGACTAAACCACCATCGCTCACGAGTTTCGTGTGGATAAGGATTTGTGAGGGTTGTATGTGGGTCATGATATTAGCAATGGTGACCATGCGAGGTCATACTTCATACATGAAATACGAATACAAGTGTGAGTTATCGTTTATTGTACCAAAAATAGTTTCTACAAGAATCTTGGGAAGTATGGAATTTCGCAAGAACTTGGGGGAAACGGTTTATGGTAGAATGGATTATTAGCCGTATTATTGATTTCATTTATGCATTAAACGTTGATGTTGCTCAAACTTGAGATCTAATTAAATGTCCCTGTTTTATTTTCAAATTATACGTATGCTAATTGTGAAATGAGACCGACTGTTTTCTTATGCTTTTCTAAACCTTGTTTGAGTTTGGAAATATTTTGCTATAGAGTTTCGTGCTCACCCCCTACAATTAAACATTTTTTAGATGTGGTTTTAGAGGAGGATCTCGAACTTGACAAGCCGAGGAATTGGGAGGCCCCACCCAAGGGGAATCTAGATCCCGAAGTGGACATGTAGAGATATAGCTTCTTTTGTACTAGATTAGAGAATTTTATTTTGAGATCATGTAAAGTCTAGTATATTGTTATTCCGCTGCAAGTGT